AATGTGCCTTTAATATAGAACTGTTATATTGCTGTAAACATAGAATCACAGAATGGTTTGGGTTGGAAGAGACCTCGGAGATCATCTAGTTCCCATGCCCCTGCCATGGGCAGGGAGACCCTCCACTAGACCACGTTGCCCAAAGCTCCATCCAACCTGGCCTTGAACACTGCCAGGGATGGGGCATCCAGAGCTTCTCTGGGCAACCTCTTCCAGTGCCTCACCACCTTCACAGGGAAAAATTTTATAGAATAGAAAACATGCAGCTCTTCCTTTAGTTTACATGTGGCAGTACAACATATTACTAAACATTAATATATTTCTCATATTAATTACTGACTACTTTTTGTCTTGTTGGTTTGTTATATTGCTTACGCACAGTAGTCCTCAATTTGGTTTTAGTGCTATGTAATCTGAGCTGTACTTATCTTGAGATAGTGGAATTTCTTTATCTACACAAATCTGGAATGTTTTTCTCATAAAAATGCTGGTGAGTGATTTTTTTTCAAAATGTTTAAGTAATGCACATTCTAGCCTGTTGCATACTTTTCTGATTTTGGAGGTAATGAGTGGATAGATTTTGTTATATTTATATTGTGACTAACTTTTTATATTAAATCTGTTAAAAAAAAACAAAGAACAAAAAAACCCCACTCATAGATATTTTTCCAAATACAAAGTTTTTATTGGGAGGGGAGTGGGAAACATAGAGTGGGGGACAATGTGCTAGGTGGAAGAAATGGCTGTGTATTTTAGAAACGCAGTAGTTCAATAAAGTGTCCAAGTTTGGGTTTACAAAGGACTAAAATCTGTTAAATCTTTTGATAGTTATTGGTAGTTAAATAGAAGAAAATGGTGATCGGAGAGCAGAAGTATTTTCTCTTTATTGAAACTGAGTAGGTGATAGCAGTAGATTTTTGCAAGGTCTTGTACAACACAGGAAAGAGAATTCCTAGCCTGTTTCATAAGGTGTTACTGTGAGCTACTTTCTCATTTTTTCTTATTCCAGGTAAACAGATGAGCAGTGGTTCATCTGATAGAAAAATATTTGAGCTACATATAAAATAGTGTTTTGATTCTTTTTTTACTAATCTTTTTTGTGGAATATAAGTTACTATTTTTAATAATTGGCATTCATTACAGTATACATATCTAGTGCCTGCATGGTGACGATGAACTTGGAGATACTTATAATATTCCGAATTTTCAGATCAGTGTTTCCTATTGTATATGGTGAACTGATTAAATGTAAAGTTCGAAATCTGAAGTAGCTAATTCAGACCACTGGGTTTGCTGACATCCAGTTCTACTCTTGTGGATCACATAGGAAAGTGACTCCAGAGTGTTAGAGTTCTCTGTCTGACAGCAAAGAAAGTTTTGGCAGCTATGGAATGATTCAATGCAAGACTGATACCTATATTTTAGTTTCTAAATGCAGCTGGTTGTGATCTAGGTGTTTAATCTCCCATTACAGTCAGTGGAGATTTAGTCAATGTTGTCACTGGAGTTTTAGATGATTTTAGTAGCTGTCTCTCTTTGGTTATTTGCATATCTCTACTGCCATGATTAATGATACATACCACTAGATAACTACGGGCTGTAATGGGAATGAGGGTGCCTTGTTCACCTTCAGGACCTCAATGAAGATGTCTTTATATACAGACTGTATCCATCCATAACATCTTTGTGTTTCTGTGTATCTAGCCTATGTGTTAATATAAATGTGTATATTTTTAAGGTACTAAAAAGGCTACTGATTTTGTTGATGTAGCTGAAAAGGCCATCTTGTTCCTTGAACCAAAATTGTATGTGATATATGCACTTCAGTGTGATTAATTACTTCGTCCTGAACTACTTGAAAATATCTGGTTCTGGATGTTTTGTTTATTATCATTGTCTGAAATACATATAAGATTTATTAAAGTTTGATTTTACATATACAAGCTTAAAATTAGTTTTGACAAATATACAGATGGTCAAAACAAGCTTTTTCGAAATATTGTGGATAAGTAATGAAAAAGAAACAGGGCTCTGACTAGAGCATAGATTTTAATAATTCCAGTCCTGTGGTGGTGAATCTCATGGTAAGTATTGCTACGTGTTTTGTGCTTTTTTATTTTATTTATTCATTTAAAGATACTTCATGACCTATGTTAAGCAGATAGTTATTTCATTTTGTGCTTTCAAACAAAATTCTACCACAGGGACACATTTTTATTCTTTATTCCCATGTGAAAGAATCTACTAACTGCATACTAAACCCAAACTAAACAGATAGTTTACCCTTTATTTTTTCAGATCCAGGTGCTCACAGGAAATATTGAGTGGATGGCTATTGACAAGGGAGATGATAGAAATAATTTGAAACAGAATTGGTTATAATACATGCTAGAACTAGATTGAAACACAAATAAGGTCATTTTTCTATTTATCTTCCTACTAGTTTTCCTATTTTATACGTGGGAAACTCCTCCTCAAAAAATTATTTCTAAGGGTAACACTTTACCTCAGTGTTTTGACTTAAAAATTCAGCTCGTTCAGCAGCATAGGATGAGGTGGCTGAGTTTAGCTGAGCTTTAGGAATTTCGAGTAGTCACTCTGTCTTTTCAAAATGTTTTAGTCATCTGTATCACAAGGATTTTTTTCAGTCACATCTTCTTAGCTTCCTTTTTCCTAACCTAAGTCAGAATCTATAAATGCTTGGCTGTTGATGAAAGGCCAGAAAATCTGTTGTTCCATGTGAGCAGAAGTACATTGCTGGTACAGGGCTTCTGAGAAATGCTCTCACGTTATTCTTGAATGCTTGTCCAATTATGACTTCTAGTCACTGAAGAGGATATGTAGAGATTTTTTGCTCTTGATCACTGCTTTTGACAGATTCAGCTTTCATTTTTTTTTTTTTAATTCAGCTCCCAAATCCTTAATACTAAAATAATATTTGTATTTACTAAAACCATTTTCTTTGCTTCATTTATTACAGTCAATGTAGTTACCTAAAAGCTCAGTCTCTCTGTTGTCCTTAAAACTGCTTTGAAGATAAAATTAATCTTCTTAAAATTATTAAAAATTGGAAAAAAAGACCATGTTGATTTTCACTTTGTCTTTTCAGCTTTCAATTGGAAATGGGTCTGTGTGGTTTTACAAAGTACCAGTTTTTTGGTTATATACTTTCAATTTGTTACTATGGTAAATTTTGATCTCTGAGTTGTGGTCCCTGATCATATCTTAACTTACTTGTAAAGTCCCAGAGGAGGGAAAAAAACCCCCAAAATCCTCTAAACCAAAACAAAATCATTGCACAATTATTCTGGCTCCAGACAGTTGCATAATTTTTTTTAAAGAAATATATCTATGCATTTAAAGAAGAGAGCTATAATTACAAGGGAGTATTGATTCTCTATCATGGTCCACAGGTGAGCTCACAAAACTGAAGCAGCACAGCTGGACTTCAGGCAATCAAAAATGCAGTGTGTTTTAAAGACTTGCTGTCTTTATTGTGTGTTGTGTTTATTAGATGGGAGCAAATGGTTTTGACGTGAGTCACAAAGGACAAATCATCCCGTAATGGGTCAAAATTTTCTTCATCTTTTCTGGATGAGAACTGCAGTCACGTAAATTGCTGTCATCAACAAGTAATGTGGTAAATTCGAGTCAGAAGTCATTAGTAACTGAATACTTATGGTGATTTGCCTTAAGTCATCTCAGTGCTTCTCATTACCTTGCCACCCTTCCTTTTTTTTCAGTAATTTAAATTCAAGCAGAATAATTGAAAATAAATTCTTGAAGGTACTCTGCTAACCCCCAGAAGGATGCAGGATTTGTGAATATGTGAGAAGGTGAAGTTGCTTTGTCATATTTACCTTTTCCTAGGCTCGTATGGGAGGCAGAATTG